GATCTGATATACCACCCACAAAGGGGTCAGGGCCCACAGACCCGCACTGCTGGAGAAACAGAAACAAGAAGATATATGTGTGTGTGTGTGTGTACATGTATATAGTCATTAATTTATAATATATATAATTTATTAAGTGAGATTTAAAACAATGACAGGCAAATTACACCTGAGATGCTGAGAACCCCATTCTCCATTCTCAGTTCTGGCTGCCTCAACAGTCAGAGTAGACCCAGAATAGCTGTCTTTTTCTAGGGGGACCCATAGTTACTCAATCCTCAAGACAGGGTAACTTGGTAGTGTCAGTCTGGCACTGGAAGCCTGGAAATTTTCTGGAGAGTCTATGCTCCTATCCCACCATGAAAGTTTGAAGATGCTGATTCTACTGTAAATGATCAACTCAGGGACAAGAGGGAGGCCAAGAGAGGACAAAGCAAGCTAAGCTTCCTTCTGAAACACTGTTCTGTAATCCGGGCTTCTACCTGAAGGTGCCACCCACAATCGGAATGGTTCTTTAGGGGTCTCCCTATTCAGGCAACTCCAGTTTGTGGCAAGTTGGCATTAATTCCAAGTTTCCATTTTGGTATGCAGGAGACAGAGATGATAACGTTGAGGCATTGGGAGTTTGGGGTGGCCTCCTTGGGATCATTCAGTCAATCTTTTTTTGTTTGTTTGTTTCATTTGCTGATATAATCTAGAGCTTTGTTTATCAGTTAATCTGTTAATCGATTATTAGTTAAGAGCTTCTATGACAAAATATACAAGATAATCAACTTAATAGGCGATAAATTTTATTATGGTTTACATGTTCAATCCATGATTTTTTTGCTCGATTTTTTGGGCCTGTTGTGGTAATAGCATGTGGCAGAGAAGGCTGGTTCACTTCATGGGTAGCCATCATAGAAAAAGGAACGGTTGGATTCCCAGTATCTCTTTGAATGCCATGCCTTCCACAGACCTAACCTCCTCCCACTGAATGCCACCTTCAAAGGTTCTGACACCGACACCTGTCAATAAGTAAAGGCTGCATCTTTAGCCTTTGAGGGACATTTCAGATTTAAGCTATAACCCAAATGGTTAGGAACTATTCTTTCTCCTATGCTGTGTTATTCTTCTTTCTCCTGGTGTGGGATTCATTGTTTGAAGTCCTGTGCATCTGTAACGAGCATCGGCTCTTCTCCTCCAGTTCCCACAGAGCCTGAAATGGGCTCTTAGTCCTTACTGTCCCATATGCTCCATCAACTAAACCGGACTAGTACAACTTTCCATAAACAATATTTTCCTACTAACAGCAGTGGGATAAATGTCTTAATGATCTTAAGTCAGAAACTTTACTCTCTTCACACTCTGGTACCCTCCTCCCTTTCTTGGTCGTCCTTCTCTCTTGCCTTGTAGGAATCACTAAAAGTGATAATCACCCCTGCCACACACACACACACACACACACACACACCACCCATTCACTGGTCTTTTAGCTGGAGAGAACTTCTTTTCTCAGCCACTGTGAGAGAAATTTAAAGACATAACCTTCTCTGTTGTCTCATGCCTCCTCCAGTGTTCCAGCAGATTATCGACCCTAGGTCCACACAGCACAGCTTTCTCGGCGTGACCTCCTATGCTTGACTTTTATTTCAGATCCCACCCCTCATCTCTCCACCTTTAATTAACCTACTTGCTGCTATTTGGACAACCTTCTTTCAGTTCTTATCCCATTTGAACACTCTACGCCATTTAACACCATCACTCTGTGTCTATTCTGTTTTGAACGTAACTTTTTTCCTTATGTGCGAGCAATTTATAGTCCTCATTTCAAATTCAGGAACTAGAATCTGTCATTTTTAAACTCCCAGAGGTAAGCAATTCAGAGGGAATCACTGTGATTATAGCTTTTGAAGGACTTGTCGGCATATATACATGCTTGCACATCCACAGATACCTGCACAAGTATCACTTGATATAGGAAATGCTTTCCATGTACAGATATATTCCATAGCATGATTTTATTCAGATGCATAACACTCCACTGTGTGGCTGTGCTGTGATTTCATTAACCAACTTCTGAATATTCATGTCATTTCTGATCTATCATTGTGTTAAATAATGCTGTGGTTCATACTCTTCTTATACTCTCACATGGAAGTTTTTTGCATAGTTTTGACAATTACCATAAGACACATGGCATTATACATGGAATCAGTAAGCCAGAGGTTATTTATACTCTTTATGCTCCAGATACACATTAGTAAATCAGTCTCTAGAAAGACTGTAGCAATGCTTTTATATTGTAGGAACATAGTAAAGTCTTGGGTTAAGATCATAGGTTCAGGAGTCCTGTCCCTGTGAACCATAAATAGTGTGCCCTCTTAGTTTCACATCTTCAAGTCTTCATTATTTATGATCTGGAGGGTTCTGACTTGATGATTTTATCAGTGCAAAGCTCTTATGCTTTTTTTGTCATCTCAGTTCCGGGCTTCCTATTGTTGCCCTCAGATTTCCCGGGTTCCTCGCTGCCAGCTTTACTCAAGGCAAACGCATCCATATTCTCACCCAGAATAAAGAAATATTTGTTAAAGGAAGGATAATGCTTTAAAAGTGATGGGTAAACAGATTCCTTTTTCTGGCAAGCAGCCTAAGTAAGGTTTGTTTTTCTCACTCCTAGACTCCAGAGCTCTCCAGTGTCACTGAATGTTCCTTTCCTATTGCCCTCTGTGATGCAAGGCATCCCTCAGCTACCTAGGATTTATAGGAGAGATTAGATAAGGGTTTCAGCTGTCCCGGAACAGGGGAAGATGAGTATACCTACTGTTATGTACTGGCTCAGACTACCATCGTCTGTCCAGTGCTGTGGACTCTTCCTTGACCAAACAAAGTGGGCTCAGCCATTGTAGAGTAGCTAAGGTTACCAGCCCATAGGTTATATCCAGGAAGCCTCCCTCAGCCTGGCTGCCTCTTCTTCCTGTGTGTTGGCATTGTCTTAATTCTGATGCTATCCTTAGGGAGAGGAAGAAAGCCATTCTGTTCCTTCAAAAGATAACTTTGATGGATGTGTTTGTTATTGCCTGGCCTCCCTCGAACCAGGCTCTTCATTCAAGGCTGTTAATCTTTCTAAGCCTTGTCTGATAAGCACAGATGATAACAGTACCTACCTCATTGGGTTATTTTAAAAGTATATAAAATAATTCACTGGGAAAGTGCTGAAGGGAGTACTGACACACAGTGAACAGCCAATAAATGTTATCTTCATCACCATCACTAAAGATTTGTTTTTAAAGGATCTAAAGCTATTCTTGATTTCTCTGTAGTCTTTTTGGAGCTTTTTCAAATACTGTGCTCTGAACATTGTCTACTTGACACATATCTCATCTTTATTTCTGTCTTTAGTAGGCTGAGTTCTTCAAGGATAGTGACTGACTTCTGTTTTATATCCCTAATAGTCTGCAACGTACATAGGAGGCTTTAATAAATATCTATGGGGAGGGTACACTGGATGAATGATTTATGCTTATATTTCGTTTAAGTCTGTTTATTTTTGCATCTGTAATTCTTTTTTAATTTTAAATAGTTTAAACAAATTTTAATATTTTAATATAATTGTACAATTTCCCCTTACCTTTGTCCCCTCCAAAACTTCCCATATATAGCCACTGTAGTACCTAAGGGTTTTGGCAACAGATGTATAAACTAACAACACAGTTACGAGGAAGTTTTTACTGTAGATACGAGGGAGAGTACAGCCAGAGGCATCTGGAAGACTCAGAGCAGGAATAGAAAGTAGTGGACTGAACAAGGCCAGCAGACTGGACTGGGCCAGGAGAGGAGAGAGAGAACAGGAGAGTGAGACAGGAAGACAAAGAGAGAAGAGGACCAAGAGAGGGGAACGAAAAGAAAGCAGCATATAAGGCAGTCGTCAATCTCATTATCAGGGATGGGCATTTAAGGTAGTCTCTCCACTATTGCTTCTTTTGCCAGTTGGTGTCATCCCTGTAGATCTCTGGAAATCTCACTAGTGCCAGATCTCCCCTCAAACCACAATGAGGGATGCTCTCTCAGCCTGGACTCTGGGGAAGGGCCTAGGCTCTGCCCTGGATGAAATAACAGACTCTGGATATCCCCACAGAGGGCCTCGCCCTCCCTGGGGAGTGAAGTAGGCATTGGGTGGGGGGCTGAGAGGGGTGAGGGAGGAGGGGAAGGAGAGGGAGCTGGGATTGACAGGTAAAGCAAAGCTTGTTGCTAATTTAAATTAAAAGAAAAGAAAGCATCACAGCAGAAATAGCAGGGTTATAAAGACAATGAAAAGCTGGGAGTAGGGAAATCCATGAGCTGGAGAAATTAGGGGGTGGGGTGAGAAGAGCCAGGATGCTAGGGCTGACTCTGAAATGTGTGACAACTGCCTGTAACTCCAGCTCCAGGATGTGACAGCCACACCTACGTACATATCCCCACACCGCACACCGAGACACACAAATAAAATAGTAAAAAAACCAGTCTTAAAATGCATAGTATTAAAAGTTAAAGTGCATAGGACACGTTTCCTTGTAGCTTCAAGCATTCTTTCCAATGAGTGTCCCAATCAAAGACAAACACTGACTACTGAGTTAATTAAAATGTCTCGGTTACCCAGAATTCACTGCAGAATGCTTGTATGGTACCACATTGTGGCCTGTTTCTCTGTGGTTACAGAGACTGGGGTAGTCAGGCCCATTTGCTAGCTTGTCTGATTTATTGAACAAATGCATCCTGTTTGAATTCGACTTTCTTGTGCTGCTCATTGTGACATAATAAAAAGAAGGGTGGGTGTTTTTATTAAAGGATCAGATGGAATGGATGCCACGGCACTCTGTTATAGGAGACTAAGGTGAGAAGATGGTGAGTTCAAGGCTAGACTGGATAGCAGTGTCAGATCCTGTCTCAAAAAAAATGTTAGAGTACAGTAGACAGAATTAACTTTTCTCCAAGTGGTTAATATTTAATGATAACTGACTGCTTTTTTTCTATCCTAGGCTGACCAGATATCTGGTTTTCACATAAGATCTGTTCTCTGTGTCCCTATATGGAACAGTAACCACCAAATAATTGGTAAGATGTTACCCACATGATTCTTTAAAACAGTGTTCCCCATTGTGTGTGTGCATGCGCACATACGCATGCATGTATGAGAATGCACATGCACACTGCCTGAGTGTGTTGCTTTGACCTCTGGCTGGCCTGGGCCTTATAATAATCCTCCTTCCTCCACCTCCCAAATACCTGTACTTGCAGGCATATATCACCAGGCCCCAGTGACTTCCAAATTTTTATGTCCAAATTTACTAATTTATGTCTCCATACCCTTCTACAATTCCAAAATGTACAGACTACTAAAGAATTGGAATTAACTAAAACAGGAAGAGATATCTATTAAGCTCAAAGAGCCAGTACATTCTGAAGATGGAAGGGATCTCAGACACCTACCAATTGAGCATTGTTATTTCATATCACAATGGAGGTAGGGAGGGAAAGATGGAGGAAAGGAGAGAGAGAGAGAGACAGAGACAGAGACAGAGACAGAGACAGAGACAGAGACAGAGACAGACAGAGGGGGGGCACAGTTACAACATTACAGTTAGTAAAAGGATCAAGATTAAACTTGAGGAGTCCTGCCCAGTGGTGGTGGCGCACACCTTTAATCCCAGCACTCAGGAGGCAGAGGCAGATGGATCTCTGTGAGTTTGAGACCAGCCTGGTCTACAAGAGCTAGGACAGCCTCCAAAGCCACAGAGGAACCCCGTCTCGAAAAACAACAACAACAACAAAAACCCTTGAGGAGTCTTAGCTTTCCCATGATGTCTATGTCCATGCCTGAGCTTTCACATAGTGTGGGTGCAAAGGGGCTGGACACATCCAAACATGTATCTTTGCTGGCATGTCTCTGGATAGATACTTTCCCTACAATAAGAAAACTATAGGCAAAAGCATCTTCTTCTGGAGTCCCAGATGAAGAAAGAGTTTATGGCTAAGCTTAATCAACCATAAAGAAGAGAGGCTTACTTTAAACTATGAAAATGTGATTTTTTTCTCCTAAGAGACATAAGGTGATGGATGTATTTTATGCATATTTTGCTTCTCTCTACCACACCCTAAGATTACCATCTAAGCTCAAAGCTATTCCTACCTAGACAATGACTTAGTTCCCTGTGAGTGTTGTCAAGACTTGATTTATTTTTTCTTAGCAGAGCCTTATTCATCCCGGGCTAGGACACACTCTGTATGTGACTAAGAACAACCTGGAACTTTTGGTCCCTTGGCTCTGCATTCCGAGTGATGACATTACAGGTGTACATCACCACTCCCAATTTATGTGGCATTTCTTGCTAACTAGGCAAACACTGTACAACTAACTGAGTTACACCTGCAGTCCAAGTCCTACACTTTTAAACGATGTCTTCCCCGCTGGACTACTTAACTTACACACATACTTTAGTATGTTATTAAGCATAAAGACTATTCTAGGCTCTTATCTGAGGCTGAGTATAAAGGAGAATTAACTTATATCATATATAAGTTTTAAGTATATCTATATTAGAAGGAGAGAAAATATCCATAGGAAACAATTGTTTGTTGATTGAATGGCAATTTCACACGTAGTCCTACATCTCAATCCTAAGGATAAACATCTACTATTACTTCAAAGTTGGGACTGTAGTTTTCCCTCTATATGCTAAAGACTTTTCATTTAGTTATATGTTGTTGAGAATTTGATGAGTTAGCTTACCAGCAGAAATTGGGCACTTTTAAAAATACAGGATTGCTTTAGAACCATAACTATTTGTTTTATTTTTTGGTTTTCCAAGACAGGGTTTCTCTGTGTAACAGCCCTGGCCTTCCTGGAATTCTCTTTGTAGACCAGGCTGGTCTCGAACTCACAGAGATCCACCTGCTTCTGTCTACCAAGTGCTGGGATTAAAGACACGTGCCACCATCACCCAGGGAATCATAGCTATTTTTATTTGCTTATTTCTACTAAATAGGGACACAGGCTTTCAGGGTTGACTTCTTCAGTTAGACTGTTGTGTTTTGGAAGTCAAATACCAACACATCTGGTATAATCCTGGGAATGTATTTGAAAAGAGGAAGCCCTCATGAACTGAGACTGTTAGAGGTGTGTGAGCCATTGATAGCAGATGGCGGAACTAATTTTGCTTTGATCTGTGTGTGTCCCATAATAACATGTTGTATGTCTTGAGCTTGCCCAGTGAAAATTTAAAACTTATTTCACATCTTTATAATCCTTTGAGGTAGTTTGTATTTTAATTCTTTTTGTATAGATGAGGAAATACATCTTTAAAAAATGCATTTACCCATAGTCATACAGTTCATATTGGAACTGAAACTTGAACTAAGGTTCTGTCTAAATCCAGAGTCCAGATTCTTAATCACTATGCCACACTGCCCCTCTTAAACACAAAAGTGTGTGTGTGTGTGGTTTTATATTATGGAGAGATAACAGATTCAGTAATATATGTAAAACTGTGTGTATATATACGAGTATATTGCCAGCTGTATCCCACCTCCAGTTGGTACAGTTTAAAATGAGTGTGTTAAACTACTTATAGAATTGGGTATCGCATACTCCATCACAGTGACACAGTAGCCAGTGCTGACATGACCACTGTCCCTACCTCTCCTCAACAGGGGTCGCTCAAGTCCTGAACAGACTGGATGGGAAACCTTTTGATGACGCAGACCAGCGGCTTTTTGAGGTGAGCAAATAAATTTGTAATCCAAGGGCCAGAACTGAGTCACCAACTGTTTCCTTGCCCACATATGTTAGGATAAACATTAATCATTTTAATATGGTTAAACGGTGTACCAGAAGTAACGCATAGGCAAGATTTGATTGTATTTTCACTCATTGGATTGGTTTGTAACCTTTGATCATTCTATCTTAGTCTTATTTCAGAATTGAATTGCCTCCATTTTTGTCTGATGTTACCATCCTTGTCTTGTTTGCACATGTCCAGTCAGGAAACCCTTAGCCAGCCCTTCCAGGTATACGTCCCCTGTGTTCTCTTTAGTTCACAAGGCTCTGTTCCCTTGAGTCTCCAGCAGAAGAGATTAGCTTTGATGTGCTTTCTCAAGGACTATGCCAGAGTCACCCACCAAAAAAGCGTATCGTTATTCTTTCTCGTTGTGACTTTTCTTTTTTAAGCTGGTTTCGAGTCAGTCTCATTGCCCTTAGTTTCTCTTCCTTACTTCCTGACCAACATATTTTATAGCCTTGCTATTGAAAGGGGCTGCTTCTGGTTAAATAAAATAGAATAATTAAAATCAGTCTACTGCCCAAATAAATTAAGACCACATTTAAACACATTGTATGCTTTCAAATGTGTGAAGCTATTTCTTCACAATGTCATTAAAGTAATGACTTTTTTCCTCATGTGCAATGTGAGCTCTAAAGTTCTTACATGACAATAGTAATTAAGAATTTTAATGCACATTTCCCCGAGGCCTACCTCTGAGCACAATAAAATTATATTTTCAGAACTGTCTCTGATGACCTCCTGCTTTCATATTAGATTTTGGTTGTGAGTTATTATGGTTTCTAATTAACGGCTTTCTGTGTCCTAGGCTTTTGTCATCTTTTGCGGCCTTGGTATCAACAACACAATTATGTATGATCAAGTGAAGAAGTCCTGGGCCAAGCAGTCCGTGGCTCTTGATGTAAGTATAGTATTATGTCAGCATGCTAGGTTGGGAAGCCTTGACTTTATGAAGTGAAAATTTGTCCTATTCATGGGCCTTAATGTTTAAATCTTAGAGACTCTTCTCCCTGGGTCTTAATTATTTTGTGGTCTTGGGTTCTACTGGGTAACAAATGGAGACCCTCTCTTGAAAACTACACAATGCTGCCTGCAATATCAGGGAGTTTTTGGATTTCTGGGAGCCCATCCATACACATCCTATCCTTAGATATAGATTCTTATATTTAATTTCTTAAATAGAGATAAGTCAAAATAATCTGTCACTGCTATAATCCCAACACTTTGGAGGCAGATGCAAGAGGATGAGTTGAAGGCAGTCTAGCTACACAGCCAGACCCTGTCTCCAGCAAACAAGAAAAAGCTATTGTCCAAACTTAAAATGGATTATGAACTTGAATATCTATGTTTGTGATTGAGTGTGTGTGTGTGTGTGTGTGTGTGTTTCTGCAGAGCCACAACCTTCCTTATCACACAGGGTAAACCTGACTCTAAAGATCCGTAGCCCAGATCTGCTCCTTCCACGCATGCATGTGTACACACTTCCTAACAAGAATTACATCCTGATCCTTGCATGTCTGCCCAGACCCACCAAGTTCCAAAGAACAAGTCTCTCCTATGAATCTCAGAGGCTTATCTTGACACAAGTCCTATTTTTTTCTCCATAGATAGTACCAACGATGTTGCTTTTATCTAAGAAAAACTTTGATAATGGGGGAGATAAAATATCAGTGCCAAAATATCAGTGATATAACAGTATGACAGATTTCATGTGCATTCTTCAAAATGTTCTCAATACCAACCTAGGTGCTAAGAGAAAGAGAAAACTCAGAGGACACTGTGATTGCATATTAAAAAGACATGAAATTATTGTCATCTAACTCATTTGCGTACTTTCCCTCTTCCCACTTAGACCATGAGTTCTGGAATCACAGAATTTCATGATTTATTTTTAGTTCCTGGCAGGATCCTTAGCACAAAGGAAAGATCTATGGACTAGATCTTAGGTGGGGAATAGGGAAAGGAAAGAGGGAAGACAGAAAACATTGAGGTAAGAAGTTTGGATAGTTCTCCAGAGGAAGAATTGCTTTGTTTATATGAAACATGGTGATAGTGAGGACTAAAGACAGTGCCTTTAAACAATAGATGAACTGAAAACATAATAGCCAATGTATAAGAATCAGTACTAAACTAGACATGGTGGCACATGTCTTTAATCCCAGCACTCAGGAGGCAAAGGAAAGAGGATTTCTGTGAAATTGAGGTCAGTCTAGTTTATACAGTGAATTTCAAGCCATCCCTGGCTACATAGTGTAGACCATGTCCCAGAAAGAAAGAAAGGAAGGATGGATGGATGGAAGGAAGGGAGAAAGGAAGAAAGAGAAGGAAAGGGAGGGAGGAAGGGAAGGAGGAAGAAAAGGAAAGAAAAGGGAGGGAGGGAGGGAAGGAGGAAATCACTGTTAATGAGCTAAGGAGAGAGTTCCAGTAGACAACACACTAGCCTTGTAAGTGTGAGGACCAGTGTGTGGACTCCAGAACCCACATGAAAGCTGAACAGCTGCATGGGTTTGGCAGCTGCTTGAATTCTACCTCTCAAGAAGCATAGATGGGTCTCCTTTGGGCAACACTGCTGACTAGCCCTGTTGGAACTGGTGAGCACCAGATTCAGTAACAGTGTGTCTCCACGTGCATATAAGTACACACACACACATTCTACACCACACACATACAGCATGCATGCACAGCACACACACGCACTAACACACAAAATCACTACCAGAGCAGGAAGGTTCTTGTGCCAAACTGCTTTCATATTGTGACTCAGCTATGAGCATTAAGTGTGAGAATACCTGTGAAGGTTTTCATGAGCAGTCAGTAACATTGTCCAACAACAGTAATCACTGTGCTCGTATGTGCAGCAGCATGTTTAGTGCTGAGATGCAATTGGGAGAAGGAGCAAAGGACCTGAGTATGAAACAGCAAATGTTGAAGATGTTTCCTTAAGTCTCATCAAACTCTATCTCCAGTCACCTCACCCATTGTTTTTTACCGCTTGCAGCTGTCTAAACACAAACAACCCAACCAAGCAAAGAACACTGCACGTCTAGACTGGGATGACTGGGTTGAAGCATGAAGGGCCACTTGTCCCCAGATGAGACTCTCATAGCCATCTTCTCCTAACACGCCAGCCCCTAGCCACAGTCTCCGAAGGTGGAGGCTTATCTCTGTTCCTGGCGAACATCTTCATGCTGGTTCCACTAACTTACCTTCTGTCCTTACAAATTATGACTGATGCTACCAACATTCCTGCCTCAACTCAGATTATGACAATCTCGCCCTTTCAAGAAGTTGACTTCTGCCGGGCGTTGGTGGCGCACGCCTTTAATCCCAGCACTCGGGAGGCAGAGGCAAGCGGATCTCTGTGAGTTCGAGGCCAGCCTGGTCTATAGTGCGAGTTCCAGGACAGCCTCCAAAGCCACAGAGAAACCCTGTCTCGAAAAACCAAAAAAAAAAAGAAAAAAGAAAAAAGAAGTTGACTTCTGCTGTTGATTTGTTGTTGTTGTGTGGGCTTGCTGTCATGCCAGTCAGTGGTAGCATTCTCTGTTAAATCCTGCTGTTGCCACTTGGTGTCCCTCAGACCTTTAGCCAACCTTCACGTCACTGGAAGGCAAATCTTGGTGATTGTGACTGGTTGACCCCATCCTATGCCCTGGCTAAGAATCTATTAAAAGAGTTTTTGTCTTCAGCACTTACAAAGACAAAATGTGATTTGATGAGAGCTACTCACAAACTCAGTTGTAACATTTTCACGTACTATGGTGTGTTAACTTCTGAGTGAGTGTATGTTCCAGAGGGAACAGAACCAAATATAGAGTTATTCTTAGTTTCAGGCCCTCCTGCCTTAGGCCCTGGGCTGGTCCTTTCTCATTTTCCATTACAGCCAAGGAAAGATTTCCCACTCAGTCTATCCAGAACCATCCTCCTTTTTTGCTTTGTCTTTTGTTTTGTTTTCTGAGACAGGGTTTATCTGTGTAACCCTGAATGTCGTGGGAACTCACTCTGTGGACCAGGCTGGCTCTGCCTCCTGAGTGCTGGGATTAAAGAAGCACTACCACACCTAGATTTCTTTTCATGATTTATTTATATTTTATGTGTGTTGGTGTTTTGCCTGCATGTCTGTCTGTATGAGAGTGTCAGGCCACCTGCAGCTGGAGTCACAGACAGTTGTGAGCGGCCACATGGGTGCTGGGAATTGAACCCAGGTCCTCTGGAAGACCCACCAGTGCTCTTAGCCATTGAGTCATCTCTCCAGCCCTTGAATTATCCCAGTTTTTACAGATTCCTTTTGGTCTTCATTCTACTTGAATTTTTCCAAGAAGGCAGTTTATTTAGTTCTTTTATTCCATTGTCTCTTAGTTTTCATGAGCAACAACAGTGACAGAAAGGAAGCCAACCAGAGTGGTAACCACGCTAGACACCTTTCTCTCCAGGACGGGAGCACATGTGGTTTTGGACCTAGGGGGCTCATCCGGGTGTGTTTCTCCTGGAGTTCAGGAGACAGCACGGCTCTGTTCTGTCTTTCAAGCATCTATTCCCCCAAGGGAAAAAGTAAAATAAAATGCTGAATCTCTGAAGTAAGTGTTTCCTGGTCAATCCTTACAAGTGGTGTGGGTGCCACCTCCAAAACACCCTGAAGGACTGGCCTTCCCTCTCCCTCCCTCCCTCCCTCCTTCCCTCCCTCCCTCCTTCCCTCCCTCCTTCCTTCCCTTCCTCCTTCCCTCCCTCCCTCTCTCTTTTCTTCTTTCTTAACAGAATGCATGGCTTTAACTTGTTTCCCCTCATCAGAAAGCAGCTGATTTATGTGCATTTATTTAATGTCAGCTACTTTTCTTATTGATTTAAAACATATCACATTATACAAATATATATGTATACACATTTAAATACATTTCTCTTTTGATTTTTCACACCATTAAATATATCTCTTTATATATTATTTTGTTCCACTGATCTGGAAGCATCCTCCCAGACTTCATTGCTTTAAGGATACTTTGAATATCTGCCTCCCTTTGCACTAGTGTCTCCAGAAGAAGGAGGCCGTTGACCTCAGCCAACCAGAAGCATGCTAGGTGGAAGACAGCCAGCGCTCATGTTTGCACATGTCTGGTTCTAATTTGGATTGAGTCCTGATTCCATAGCTGTTGGCCTTGGACATTCCATATGAGTCCTTAGTTACTTCATATGGCAAACGAGCATAAGAAAGTATTTTATCAGTTAAGTAAAACTACACAGGGACAGTGTTTAGAGGCAGTATTCAGTTATAACTGGCATACTTGGTGCTCCCAGTCCATTGTCTTCACATCAGTGGATTCACCATGGGTGAGAAAGATCTTTAAAAATTAGATCTGCGGTAAACACATACAAACTCCTCCCCCTTGTCATTCTTTCCTAAATAACAGAACCACAGCTGTCTAGTGCCACCTAGGGTAAGCAATGTGGAGTGAGCCTATGTGAGGGTGCATAGCTTATACTCAAGAACTGAGCCGTCTTAGAGAAGATACTGGAGTATCTGAGGATTTGGCCTGAGGGAAGCTGTTGTGGATCCGTACTCTCTTAGAGTCATGGAAGGGAACTGGCCTTGGCAAAAGTTAGCTGTCTGTACTGACCATTCTTGATCTCCATTGAATTCTGTCTGCTCACCCTCAGATGATTTTAAGGCTGTGCTGGCTGGAAGCCATACTCTTTACCTGTTTGATTAGGCAGATCGCTTCCTGCTTCACGTTTGAGTTCTAGGCTCTGCAAGTTACTGCACTGTGCATCTGGTGCCATTGCAGGTGAGGTTGTCCCCGAGCACTTCTGCTTCCTCCAGGCATGCCCAGTGCCTGCCTCCTGTGTCGCCATGCAGAAAGGTACAACCTGGAAATAACAACCTCATATCCGAGGGCAAAACAACCAGAGGAA